GCTAACTTTTCTCCTTTCTCTCTCTTCGTTGTTTAAAACTTAAGTTCTCACTTTCCATTTAGTTGTGTTATACCTTTCAATATTCCTTTTTTTCTTTTGAGTTCTTGCACTAGGGAGACAATATGATATTTACCAATGTGGGTCTGTTTTATTTCACTTATGAGTATATCTTCAAGATGGTTTCGAGTTTATCATTCTTTCTAGTTGAGTAATACTTCATTGTATAAAAACACCGTATCTTTTTCATCCATTCCTCAGTTGATGGGCATTTTGGTTGTTTGCAAGATTTGGCTGTCACAATTTTTACTGCTATAAACATAGGTGTGCATATATCCCTATGGTATGATATTTTTAGTTCTTATGAGGAAATTCCCAGAAGGGAGATAGCTGGATTGAATGGGATTTCCAGTCCTAGGTTTTTGAGGAGTGTCCACACTGATTTCCATAATGGCTGTACCAGTCTACATTCCCACCAGCAGTGGAAAAGGGTTCCTTTTTCCCCTACAGCCTCTCCAACATTTGATGTTGGTTGATTACTTTATGATAGCCATTCTTTCTGGGGTGAAATGGTATATCAGTGTTGTTTTAATTTGCATTTCATGAATGGCTAGTGATTTGGAGCATTTTTTCATGTATTTATTAGCTTCTAGAATTTCTTCTGAGAAATGTGTTTTCATTTCGGATGCCCATTTTTAGATTGGGCCTTTAATTTTGGGGGCCCACATATTTTTTAGTTCTTTATAAATTCTAGATAGAAGACCTTTGTCTGAGGGCTTATTAGTTAAGATTGGTTTCCCAATTTGTGGGTTGTCTTTTCACTCTGTTGTTAACTTCTTTTGATACACAAAATCTTTTCAAGATTTGGAAGTCCTAGTTCCTAATTCTTTCAGGTATTACCTGTGCAGTTTGATTTTTGTTCATGAACTGTTTGCCTACCCCTATATCTTCAAGAGTTCCTCCCACTTTCTCTTTGAGATTTCATGTTTCTGTTTTAATGTTTAGATCTTTAATCCATTTTGACTTTAGTTTAGTTCATGGTGATACATCTGGTCAAGATACAGTTTTTGGCATTTAGAAAGTCAGTTTTTCCAGGACCACTTGTTAAAGAGGCTATCTTTCTTCCAGTAAGCATTTTTGGCCCCTTTGTTGATGATAAGGTGGATGAATGTGTTTGTTGTTGTATCTGCATGTTCTAATGTATTCCACTGATCCTTAGGTCCTCTTTTGCCAATATCATGCTGATTTTATCACAGTAGTTTTATAGTATAATTTCAAGTCAAAAATCGTAATGCTTCCTGCCTTGACTTTGTTGCCCAGGATTGCCTTTGCTATTCTAGTTTTTTTCTGGCTCCAAATAAATTTTAGGAATGGTTTCACTAAATCTTTCAGATACATTGGTGATATTTTGAGAGGTATTGCATTAATTCTGTATAAAAATTTTGGGAGTATGGCCATCTTCACAATGTTGGTTCTTGCTCAGTTGTTCTTTGTCATGGAAGTATTTCAGTTCTCCATCAAACTTGAGAGTTTTGCAGGATACAGCAGTCTGGGCTAGAATATTTTTTTTTGGAGGATTTGAAGTACTTTACTCCAGGTTCTTTTTGACTTGATGGTTTTTATTTTATTTTATTTATTTTTCTTTTGGTGGAACCGGGGATTGAACTCAGGCCCTTCCGCTTGCCAGGGAAGCGCTTATTCCACTGAGCCATCTCCCCGGCCCTGACTTGATGGTTTTTGAAGAGAAATCTGCCATTATTCTGGTGGGTTTTCCTTTAAATGTGATCTGTTTCTTTTCTCTCGCAGTTTTTAGTATATTGTTCTTATGCTGGATATCTGGGATCTTGATTATTATATGTCGGATGTGTTTTTAATTGGATTGATTTTATTTGGAGTTATATATGCTTTCCTTAACTGAATGTCAGATTGTTTCCCCCTATTTGGGAAGTTTTCTGCTATTACTTCTGCCCATATTCTTTTTATGCCATTTGTTTTGACTCCTTTCTCATTGATGCCTATTAATCTTACGTTTTTCATCTTTGCATCATCTTCCAGATGGCGAATTATTTTTTCCTGCATCCTATTTTTAAGAGTTCTTTTCTTACTTCTTCACTAGCTGCAGTGGTGTCTTCAAGGTCTGAAACTCTGTCTTCACTTTCATTCAAACGATTTTGCCAGGTTGTGATTGAGATTTGAATTTCCTGTATATCTCTTTGAATCACTTCATGCATTGTTTCTTTCCTATATTGTTCATTCAAGGATTTCATCATTTTTCTATTATATTATATTTTTAATCAGTGTCTTCTTTAGAAACACTTAGTAATTCTTTCATTATAGTTGTCATTTCTTTTTTAATTCAGAGATTTTTTTCTCATCTGATTTCCTGTGACATTTCTTCAATTGTTCCTTTACTTTAGACAATATTATTTCAGAGATTTCAGGAGTGTGTTTCCCAGTTTCTTCTATGCTCCTGCATTTGTTCTGGGTTGGCTTGTGGCCTGAGAAGCTCCTTCTCTTTTTCATTTTTATAGCATTGTCCTCTGATCTTTGGTGTAAGCTTTTGTGCAGTTATAATCTTAGCACCTACTGAAATTCTTACCCAGGAGAGATTATATAACTACGACAGTTATAGTTTTGTATTTACACAACTACAATTAGAAACACTAATAATAAGTAGTGATATTTAGTAGTTGACAAACTTTTATAACTAATGGGTTTATATTGTAGACCATAAGAGCAAAGATTATGTCTATGTAGCTAAGTGGATATTAGGTTGTGAAGTTTTATTTAAATTAATTACCGTAAATTCTGTCTGATCACCTCCCCTTGATGTACATGCGGTCTTCCAGGCATACTAGTTCACCCAGTTACCTGTTGCCCCCTCTCTCTATGAGGAGAGAAAAGGAGAGGATGTTCTCATAGATCAGGTTCTAGCAAAGTGTCTCATCTTACCATGTCCAGATCTACCAAGTTCAAACTTGTCTAGATGTGCCTGGCTTGGGTCTGGCTGCTGTGCTCGTCCTCTTCCTGCTGCAGCACACTGGGCATTGACCCTGGTTTGAAAGGGATCCAGAGAGGGTTGGCAAAAAGTCTCACTCACACGCCACTGGGCCTGGGATCTGGCTGGAAATGGGGCTGATTGAACTATTGTATCCTTTGACATGAAGAAAAAATAGTTTAAAAAAATTCCTACAGTCAAAGCCTACAATATATATTCTTGTTATTGAGTCATTTTCTGTGGAGTTTCTGGAACAAAATAGTATTTGGGAAATAGTTTGTACATTCTGTGAAGCATATCTAATCAGTCATAATAGGAAATAAAATACAGCAACTTAATGAAAGGAACTTGTAGTTGACAAATCTCTGTATTGGTGACTTGTCTGAACTCCAAGGAAGTTGATCTTGTTCTTTCTGCTAATCACTTTATGGCAGCTTTCTCTAATACCATCTATAGGAGTGTATTCATTCTCTAGAGTCCCTCTGACAACCTTTTAAAAATAAAACAGAAAATAGATTGGAATATATGTCAGCATTTATAAGCATCTCATGTAAAAAGCTAGTATACTCGCAGGACTTTTTCTCTGATAACACTGCTGATTATTTTGTGGCTTGCATCATTAGATGTAATCATTATCACTAGCACTATAACCACCATCACCATCATCATAGACTGCATTTTCTTGATTATGCTATGTTAAATTCTGTTCTAAGCACTTTAAATGTGTATTTATGTTCTAAGTGTATGTTTCTTCAAAAAATCCTATGGCACAGTTTTGAAAACTCTTATTTGCAGGGATGGCAAGATAGATCCGCAGACTAAGCACTTGCTTAGGCAAGTATGGGGGCTGGGGTTCGATACCCCACACCATGTGCACGTGCCACCCCTACGCATGCTGAGTCAGTGACTGAGTCCAGGCATGGTGATGTACACTTGTAATCCCAGCTCTAGGGAGGCTGAAAACAGGATGATCACTCTGAGTCTGAGCTGCCTAGTGAAACCCTGTTCCAAATACATTTAAAAAACCCCAAACCTCTATTTTCAGATGGCCTAGAAAATTCAATAAGTGATAAAATATTTGCTGAACCATATTAAGCATTTCTTGTATGGTAAAACTATTTCATACCTTAACAAATGTATTTTTATTGTTCAATTTGTAACAATGATGTCTCTAATTTTCTGGCATTCCAGGTAATCATTATTGAAGACATTTATTTATAATTCTTCAGGTGTTTTAAAAGCTAATTCTTTCTTTTATTCAAAAGTATTTGCATGCACTTTGAGGTTGCTATGATAACTTTTCATTTCTGTTTTTTTTTAGGACGGGGAATTCAACAATGGTTGCTATATTGTATGATGTTATCTCCAATATTGTTATCTAGTTTAGCAGATATAAACATGCAAAAATTGGTTCAAAACAAAACAAAACAGAACTACAACAAAAAGTTATAAGAAATTAAAAAGAAAAAATAACAATACAAAGAAAAAGTGTAAGCATTAACCGCTTACTCCTTTCAAAAGACCAGCAAAAATTGGCAGTACTATTTTCCAAATTATCTTGCATATATAGATAGATATAGATATAGATACAGATATAGCTAGATAGATATAGATATACTTTCCCCCTTATTTCTTTTGTCATTTTCCTCATTCCAAATGCCAGTTTTTCCTTCCCATTGAACAAATTCTTTCACTTTCACTGTATATGTTGTATTTCTCAGATTTTATTTACACTTTCAGGTTCTCAACTAGTAAGACAATATGATGTCTGCACATGTGGGACTGATTTATTTCACTTTCCAATGCCATCTCTAGTTTCATCCATTTATTTACAAAAGCCTTGAATTTATCTTTTTTTTTATAGCTGACTAGTACTGTGTTGTATAATAATACCACATCTTTATTATCCATTTCTCAGCTAATAGGACATAGCTGAATATTTATATAATTTTTAAAATCTATAAATAATGGAAAGTACTTCATTTAACTGTGTTTGTATCTACAGGAAGCCGTAAAAGAAAATAATAAGAGAAGAGAAATGGAAGAGAAAACTAGGAGGGCAAAGCTTGCCAAAGAGAAAGCTGAACAGGAAAAGTTAGAACGTCAGAAGAAAAAGAAGCAACTCATTGATATAAACAAAGGTATGAAAGTATTTTCAATTTTTTTGAGATATGCATAAAGTACAAAATAAGTTCACTTATTTTTGTATTAGGAAGTAAATCATGTTTTTTGTTGAGAACTCTTAATTTTATTACTTTGTACACCAGATTTCTCTCACAGTGCTATCTCTTGATATTTTTGTCATTGTACCCTGAGCGCTGAGGAATTTTGATTATCAGTATGACATGTTATAGTTTTGAAAACTCCTTTTTTTATTTACCTCATCATAGTATATTATGGTCTGGCTGAGGCAAAAGTGAAAACAGAGGATAGTGCAATGAAAGTGAAAAACTGGTATGGAGGGGTGAGGTGTAGACCTTAATTTTACTTTGTGAGACACATGTCTGTTGACAGTGCAGTAACTACAGGTTGGGGACTCGAACCTTTTAAGTTATAATAGAGATTGACAGCACTATTGCAAGTTGACAAAGAGCAGAGCATCTTGTTCAGATGTATGCTTTAGTCCAATATTCCAGTACATCTGCATTAGTATAAAGTAAGCTGTTTTCTAGGTTAACAAGAGTGACTCTATATGATAAATGGGCTTCTTGGTTTGGTTTAGTTTATAAAGGAAAAAGGGCAAAAGAAGGATGTAATTGGTTCCCTTGTACCTGCACTATGAAACTTTAGAAGGAAAAGACATTGTTCTTCCCACCTGAGGGTTAGAAATTTTAAAAACAAAACAAAATTTCAATAAGATGCAAAGTAGTATGATTAAGTTTGCACCATTTATCACAGAAAATGCTGTATAATATTGATCATATTTTTAAAATACTAACCATATGCTGTGCACTATTTTACATGTTTCAAGTCAATTCTTACACCCCTATGAGATAGGTACTATTTTCTCATTTTACAAATGGGAAAGTAAGACAAAGAAGTTATAAATTTGCCCAGTATGACACAAATAGGAAGCACCTGCAGCAAGCTAAAATCCAAATAATCTGGTAGAGAAACCTCATATTGATCCTTGCCACTGTCATACATAATAATTATCCTATAGCATTTACTATGTACCAAGAAGTATTTTAGGATTTCAACATTTCTAAATCCATTTAATCCTAGCAAAACCCAATTAAGAAAGTACTACTGCCTTGTTGTAAAATGATGAAACTAAGACAAAGAGAGGTTAAATAATGTGCCCAAGATCAAAAAATTGGTAAATAAAAATTAGAGTTAAGATTCAAATCCAGGCAGTTTGTGATCAGAGTTAACTATTAATTATTATGAGTTCTAAATTATTATTAATCATTATTATGTATTCTGTAACAATAGTGCTGAATGGCAAATCCTCTGAACTAATACTTATATTATTAAGTTTACCCCTCATATTTTAAACAAACACAAAAAACTTCAGAAATGTACTAGGTTTTCAGTAGAATAAGCACTTGCCTGGCAAGTGCAAGGGCCTGAATTCAATCCCCGGTTATGCAAAAAAAAAAAAAAATTACTAGTTTAAACTAAGCATTGTGGTGCCTATAATCCCATCAGTTGGATCAGTTGGAGACTGAGGCAAAAGGATTGCTGTGAGTTCAAGGCCGGCCTGAGACATATAGTGAGACCCTGTCTCAAAAAAAAAAAAAAAAAAAAACCTAAACAAACAAGAACCTAAAATCCTACAAGTGAAAAATGTGACGTAGTTTATTTCTCCATTAGTGATTGTTTACTAACTAGAAATTACTGTACTCAGGTTTGTCCCAAACATCATTTTCACAATAGTAGAAAAAATGGACTGAAATGGCAGGGTCCAAGACTAGAGCACATTCTGAAGATAATATCACGACATGCCAAAAGGTAATGAAGACTTGAACTGAGGCAGTGAGAATAAAGTTAGGAAATGGAGCTATGGGGTTAAGAAAAGGGAGCAGTAAGTTATGTATTCCACTTCTCTCTGAGAATTCTAAGATTTTAAAAACCAAACATCAATCAATGAGAAGAGCACAAATTAGTATTACAAGTCTCCCCAAACTTTAGCTAAGTTTGAAACACTTAAATTCTCATATCTGTTTCATTTAATTTAATGTAATGTCATACACATTTGCTTCTATAAAACTCTACAGTATACTCATAAAAGTCTAAGTTACAAAATGAAAAAACCTAAAGGTGTTTGCTTTTGAACATCCCCTGTAATGAGCTTGCCTCCCCAAATCCCCAGTTTACAGTTTGAGAAATTCTGGTATAAACAGTAAAAGGAATAAGCAATTAGAGAATGACTGTCCAACTTTGTACCAAGAACATAATCTTCCACAGCACACCAGTATCTACACTCATCCATTTCCCTAAAATACAATAGGAAAGAAAAGAAGGAATGGGTTGACCCATTGTAGTTGTCCGTAGTATTACATTTTCAATTTCAAGACTTGGTTAGTTATTTCTTCCAGTGTCATTAAAAACATAAGAAAAATGTACAAGTACATTTTTGTGCATATGCTCAGCTAGCAGATTTGAACATGAAAAAAATTTTCATTGTTTGTTTGTTGTTACCATAGTTCTATTTACAGATCAATAAATTCATAAACATCAATCTTACCTTCTTCATTTGTGTCCTATATGTTGTAAATATATATTATTTTTATCTAGTGTAATATTGCTTTTTACTTTGAGTATATGTGTATTAGTACTTTAAGTATGTTTCTATAAGTGGTCCCTCTAAGGTTAGATTTGTATAATCTAAGTGAAGAAGATGGGAAGGTGCCAAAAAATGAAGAAGACTAAAGATGGATGTCAAGATGAAGCCCAGTGTTCATTTCTCAGTGACTTGTGGAAGATGCTCTTGACTAGGTGGAAAGTAAAACTTCACACATTTTAAGAGCTAGAGGAAACACAGCAGAGACATACAATGTGTGTGGCATATAAGGAGATGTGAGAGCCTATAGGAGCCATGAGTGACATGTGTTCAGAACATGACTTAGAGAACTTTAAATATGTCCAATAAAGTTTTGTGGTCTTCCTTTCTGGTCAAAGAGAGAACTAGAATATTTGATTGTCTTTGTGGGATATGTTATATAGAATGGAGGGATATTACATGCATATGTGACCAGGGAAACATAATAAAGGAACCAAACAATGTTACCTGTAATAAAAGTATTAAGTGAAAAGTTCCTTTGATAAAGCAAGTCACACTGAAAATTACAGACTCTTACATTATACACGTGTGTGGCAATATCACATTGTGCCCCACAAATATATAAAAATTTTATTCATTACTAAAAAATTTAAAACTACTTAAAGACAATAATGCTAACTATCCTTATTTCCTCATTACAAACAATACACATGAATTGGATTATCATACTACTCCCTGAAAATATGTATACCTAAAACTATAAGATTTTGTAAATATGATAGACACACTATAGAAAGTATCCTTTCTATAAATTCTATTCCATGTCATCTTAGCAATATAACAAACCCTGTACACTATTTTTTTTACTTTTATCCCATGATTTTATTGAGAAACAAATAGCAATGAGACAGTTTCAAACCAAATTGGTAGGATACTTTCAATAATTAACACATTGCACACATTCTTCCTCGTGGTTATTTGCTGTACAAGATGCAGACATGGTATCCTATCTACAAACATTATTAGAACAAATCCCTCTATTCATTAAGAGAATGTAACTATGTATCTATCCTAACCATTTTGAATACACAGATACAAAATGGACATTCATCAGTATACCCTTTTTTTGTTAAGTTCCGTTATTTGAATATTACAGGTGTGTAAACTCAGCAAAATATTCTAAAAAATTTCACTAGCCCATAATAGTATTGGGTCTTCCACTTCACTGGCAGTGTCAGAAATTGTTGACCTGAGTCCCCTACAGCTCAACATAACACCATGGCTTTACTTCTTATATTTTGTTTTTATACTTTTTGCTGGATGACTAAGACCAAGATAAAACAGGACCTATGCAACAAGAGTTGTTGCTTTTGGATCTGAGAAGGTCAGTGAAATCCCCTCAGGTTTTATCCTGAGATCCTGTACCTCAGATTGTAGAACCTTTGTCAGTGTTAGCCATGTGGATGAGTCACGGCCATTGCTTGGCCAGTGTGGTCCCTGTGAAAGCCTGAGAGAATGTTTTCTCTTCATGTGACTCTCCTTAGGCACACACTACATCATCAATCACTTTCCTCTTTGGCCCCCATTATCTCCTTGATCAGAAAATTTGGGACACTACCGAGTTACATGATGTTACAGTACAAGTTCTCATATGTCCTGAGTCTTAATTGACCTTGGAAGGCTAGGCTCAAAATGTTGGCTTTCCTTGCGGCCCTCCTTTTTCTCTAATTTTCATCTGCAAACTTAGGTTGTTAACCCTCCAGAAGAGAAGCTTATTGTTATTAACATACAACCTAGGCTGTTGAGCTTAACCTCACTATCTGTCTGCATATCAAACATCTTAGGCATAACATGGAACAGGTATTTTTCATCAAGTATTGATATGTTGAATTTTAAGTCCCTACAGAATACGGGTGAAGGGGCTGGGGAGATGGCTCAGTGGAATAAGCACTTCCCTAGCAAGTGCAAGGGTCTGAATTCAATCCCCGGTTCCACCAAAAAAAAAAAAAAAAAAAAAAAAAGAATATGATGAAAAAACATTTAAAAAATTAATATATATTTTAAAAATAGGCGTAAAGAATTATATAATTCTTATGTTTACACATAAGTCCAAAAATCTAACCATATACAACCTTGTAGCAGGACAGTCCCACAACATTCCTTTCCTGTCTCCTGCCTTCATTCACCACTCCCTTGTTTCTGAACAATCATGTACCCGAGAGACAGCATGACAGCAGCTGGCATGTCATGACAAGCAGCCCGTATTCAGAGGACCAGTATGACAGGCACTCCAAGCATGAACCTACTATTATAAATTGCCATCTTCAGTGCAGTTGCTTAGTTCACAGGTATATATATATATAGTCAGGGTGAGAATCTTTCCAATTAACTACAAGATTCAAAAATATTCTGAAG